GCCTTATCCACCAGCCGATCCGTGCGCGATCTCATCATCGTCATGCACGTACCATCGCCACTAGCGATCGCCGCCGGAACGAGCGCCTCTCCCCTCGGTGTACCATACACATTCGGCGTAACCTGCCACGTAGTGGGATACGCTCGACCCATATAATCTGCATCTAGACAGGGGACGTCGTAATGTGCGGCGACACCGAGATTCACCATGCCGTTGCCGCCACCGATCTCCAGGGCGAGGAATGCAGAGACTGGTTCACTGCCGGTCACCCGCATTAGTTCTTCGTGGGCTTGTAGACATTCGCTGTTCTCGAGTCGCTCCATGCTGACCTCTGGACTGCCCATGCAGCCGGTCCAGCCGACGAGGCTGTCGTCGGGTAAGGAGTCCGGGGATATGATGCGGACGGTACCGGGGTGGTTTTGTAGGTAGGCTTTGGCTTTTAGGTATTCCTGGTAGGGGTCGCCGCCGCCACCGCAGCCGAGGATTTTGCAGCCGCGGGTGATGAAATCCAGGTCGGTAGGGGAGATGATCCATTGGTTGTTTTGGATGTGAGGGCGGTAGGAGTGGAGATCAGGTTGTGTTTCTGTTAGCTGGGAAGCATGAAGTGGAGGGGCGAGAGTGTCTGTTTCGTGGACTTCCTCGTCTGGAATAGGGACTGCTTTGTCTGCAGATGATGTCGCTACAATGTCCAGCTCTCCCACGGCCCGCACCACAATGCGCGCCTTGGCCTCGACATACTGAATGGGTAGCATGGTCACCTCCGCAATCTGCACTGTATCTGGCCGAGCACCGTTGCCGAGGGCCCTGTCATTCGCCATTTGGGAGACAGCCTCTTGTGCGTCTTTGACAGTGCAGTTCGAGGTATCAACGACCGTATCAATCACCCCCGAGACACGCGAGATAGCAGCACCCACAGCGTTGGCGACCTCGCCGCCCTTGACGGTCTGTACTCGCCGGACACCTAGCAAGGGTTCATCGGTGCGGATGATAGGTGCGCCGCCGCCGACGATGAGCACGTCTACGTCGTCCTTGTGAATCTTGGTACGGTCGACGAGTTCCTCGATCTTGCGGCGCATGATGGATTGTGCCTGATGGATCATGGCGATATTTATATCGGCTAGACTAGTGGTATCGCCCATTCCTTTCAGCGGGTTCATCTCCGTCACGCCATGGACGGCAGATGCCACAGCGATATCGGTCGCAGTGAGGTACTCTCCGCCGAACAGGCGGGCTTTCTCCAACAGCTCGTGGGCCACACTATCCGGACCCACAGAGCAATCATCCTGTCCGATGCTGCGGACAATACTTCCTCCTCCTAGTCCGATGCTTTCCACGGCTGGAAGGGCAAAGTTGGTGCGCACACCCCCGACCAGACTCGTCACTGAGCTCATCTGTGGCAGGCCATTAGGTAGGAGTAGTCCGCTGTCGGAAGTGGTTCCGCCAATGTCGATGACGACCAATGGTTCTGTGCGCGTTGTTTGCTCTTTCTGCAGCTGCGCAGCTTCCGTAGCTGCACGCCAGAGAAACTCCCCACCGCGGATAGAGTTGGTTGGGCCTGAATTGAACGTCCGGATGGGGAGATGAACTGCCTCGGCCGCACTGAGAACGCTGCCGTCATTCTGTGTCAGATACAGAGTATACGGAACATCCTGGAAGATATCCTCCATGGCCTTCTGAAAGCCATAGATCGTTCGTTCGGCCAGTGGACGCAGAGTGGCGTTAAGGATGGCCGCGTTCTCTCTGGCCAGGAAACCCAAACCAGACACCTCATGCGAGAGAGTAATTCGCGCTTTGTACGAAGGACCAGCATGCTTTTCCATCGATCGCAGAATAGCTTCTTTTGCCCTCATCTCCTGGCGATGATCCAATGGCGCATACATACCGGCGATCACCACGTTCTTAATCCCATCATTGACCAATTGCGTGCCTATCCTCTCAAGCTCCGTCTCATCTAGCGGGCTTATTTCCTCTCCAGAGATCTGGTATCCCCCATGGCAAAAGTATGGCCGCGAGGCTTCGATACGCGCACGCAGATCGAGTGGAAAGTCGACAAAGGGAGGGATACTGCGACCGAATCCCTCATCTGGTCCACCACATAGTCGAATCACGGCGACACGGCGTAGAGATGGTGAGCGCTGGACCACAGCATTGACAAAGTGGGTAGTCCCGATAATGACGCAACCGATGGACGAAAGGGGCACATTTGCTGCTGCAATGATGGCCTGAACGGCAGTGGTGATGCCGGTGGTGACATCTGGACTAGTGGGTGCTTTGTGCGAGGCGACGATGGCGACGGGATCGAGACGAACGAGGACAGCGTCGGTGTTGGTTCCTAGACGTTAATTTGTCAGTGGAGCAGTTAAAGTAACAGTGGGTGGTGGAGGTGGAGACGGACCGCCAACATCCACTCCCAGGCGGTAGCGGGGTTCGATGACACTGCCCATGGTGGTGGAATCATGGTCAGTGACTCAATTGAGGGCGTCGATCCTATATAACTTCGGTAAGACAGGGTTCTTAGGAACCCCTCATGAGATGCCATGCTGATAAGCCGACCCCCCCTCATCCGAGGCCAATCGTTGCTCTGCGATATCGGCTAGACTGCTCGAGACGGGCCTCGTCCCGAAGCCACGGCGTATCTCGATCGATTGGCCAATCATCTTCACCTGTACACTTATACTATTGCTGGACGTGAGGATTTTTTGATGGCAGCAGAAGTATCATATTATCGGGGTATTGTAGTAAAAACAGAAAACAAACTCCGTGCCACACCAGGCCTTGATCCATCGATCAGAAAAACATCAGAAGGTTAGATACATCAGAAAACAAAAGAAATCTACGATGAGAAATGCGGCGCATTGATGAACAATCCCATCAGAATTCCACCCAACGTGCCCGCGATGGGAATCGTCATGATCCATGCCAGCAGCAGCAGTCCCACTCGCTGGAAGTTGACGGCCTTGAGCGTGCCATTGCACAGTCCCACGCCGACGGTAGCGCCCGTGATGCACATGGAGGTCGACACCGGCAGCGAGTACTGAGAGAAGACGAGAACCGTGATAGCGGCTCCCATCTCCATCGAACAACCGCGACTCGGCGAGTGGTAGGTGATCTTGTTGCCCATGACTATATCTCATTAGTACACATCACAATTCACACGATGATATCGACTTACCCTTCATGATGTTGTAGCCATACGTGATCAGGCCGATCGAGATACATCCTGACAGCACCGCCAATTGCCAGATGGGCACCGGTGCCTTGGCCGCCGCCGCGTTACCCGTTGACCAGGCCGAGTAGATAACCGCCCAAGGACCGACCGAGTTACCAATGTCGTTGGCACCATGAGCAAAGGAGGCAGTGCAGGCGGTCAACACTTGAATGAACGAGTAGGTGTGCTCGACTTCGTTGGGATACTTGGCGGCGTGGCTGTACACGCGCTGCATGCGCTTGCCTTCGGGGGTGCCCGCAATACCAGACTGAGCGGCGTGGATATCATAGTGCAGACCGTAGAGGAGTCCGCAGACAATCATTGCGGGAATACGCTTTGCCAGAATCACCATATTATGGACCTCATACAGCTGACCGGCTCCCATGGGGTTGTCGCGGAGAGTACGCATTGCCCAGCCCAGGGGTCCACGCTTCTTGAGCAGCCGCTCCCGCAGCCGACGGTCGGATTGTTCCGTGAGTTCCTTGTAGGTCAGTTGCTGAGTTTCGCCGGCCACCATGCGCTTCTCGCCTTCTTCACTGCGGGACTGGATTGACTCGACGCCAGCCTGGGTGGCTCGCTTTACATCATCGCCGCGGAGAGTATCCGGGGAGCCTAGCGTGAGGTCTTCGGAGCTTCCCTGCACGACGGCGTAGTCCGGAACCTTGGCCTGTTCGCCATGAGTGACAACGGGGCGGGTCAGCAGCATGGGGCCCATGATGAACATCCACCATTTCACACTGTGATCCTTTCTGATGACGCGGGCGTACACAAAGGGAACGAAGAAGATGGCAGAGAGAAGCATGACGCCACCACCGGTGCCCATGGTGACCGCCGCAATGTACCAACTAGGCTTCTTGGACAGACCCAGACTGGGAGAACCCTTGTAGACGATGGACAGGGTGCAGATCGTGGCGGCGATGAGGAAGAAGAAGGGGGAACTGTAGACAGCCCAGGGGATGGGGTTCTTGCGGATGAGCACGACCAACTTGATGAGCATGAAGATGATAGCCGCGAAACCTCCCGAGATGATGGGAGCCATTCCCAGCCCGGCGAAGATGGCACCCAAGCCCTTGCCATCATTCCAACCCCACTGCACGTGAGAGGCACCCACGGTAGCCACACCCACGCCGGCGACGGCAGAGATCAGGGAGTAAGTCGAGGAGACATGGGCGGAGTGGCGCGTACACCACATCACCCAAGTGGATGCGGCAGCCAAGGCACAGGTGAAGGCTAGCATCTGCACGCCCGCGTTGCCCTGGAAGGCGGAGTTGGGAATGATGCCGTTCTTGATGGTATCAGCAGTACGAGCTCCGACACAGATGGCGCCCAGCATCTCGAAGACGGTGCCGAAGACCATAGCCTGGCGATAGGAGACGGAACGGGAGGAGACACTGGTTGCCCAGGAGTTGGCCACATCGTCTGGATTCAAACACAGAGGGCATGTAAGTAAAGGTTCATCCAATCCGGGTAAGCACATGACTTTGGTGTCACCACTCACTTGCACCGTTGTTGTAGGCATCCAGCATGGCAAACAAGGTGCCGATGGCGAAGACATAGTCGTACTCGTGGAGGACCGCCATGATGATGACTTGTCTTGTCTTTGGCTGTGAGTCCTGCCAAAGGGGAAGGGAGGATGAGGAGGAGTGAGATGGAGGGAAGGATGGAGAGAAGGAATCTGACGGACAGCCTCATGAACCTTTCCCTGCGGTCCAGCTCACTTTATGTGACCAGCAGAGGCCATCAGACCGGGCAGGACATTCACTCTACTGAGGGCCACGTGCCCTTGGAGAGTTTACGGGTGGAGGATGGAGGCAATGTAGTCCTCCTCCATGTCAGGGAGCTGAGGTCGGACACGTTCCTGCTTGGAGGCCGATGATTCGAAGAACCAGGGCGGAAAGCTGACCTCGACGGGACTGTCCAGGGTGTCGGGAAATACACGGATTACAGAGGGTATGACAGGGCCAGACTCGGAAATTCGCGCAGAGACTGTAGCTTTCACAGCAAAGCCACTGGAGCAGGATCAGGTACTACCAGCAAGAAACTGACTTTCGGGATACCAACTACCAAAGTGTTACAAGATTACCGCCACCAGTCGCACAGGATGGCCCTGCTGGGCATGGCTGGGCGGTGGCTTGGCATCCGCACTGCCTGCTATCGTTTAAGCAGATATGATGGAAGTATATTGGCTCGTGTCGTAGATATACTCGCAGTGAAGTCTGGGCGGACCCGAAGAGGCGTGTCTTGGCAGGCTGGGCGGAACGGGCACGTCTCCACTACTCCTATCAGTGCACACAGCGGGCCCACGTGGGGATGCTGCTGCAGCTTCATTCGCCGTATCTTCCCCCGGCCGGACTTCCAGAAACACCATCCCAGCAACACTGCCCGCGCGGTGACTGGCACGGTGTCACGGCCCAGAGCTGGCCACTACTCTTGGCACGCCAAGGTAATCTTCCGATGCTGTCGTGGAACACGACATTATTTTCCCATCACCAACGGGTACCAAACTCTAATAGGTTGCCTCCTACGAACCATTATTATTAATACCCCACGACTAGATCGCACGAGTCACCATGAGGATCAAATTCTATTGTCCCATTAACCATTAATTACGCGGGGAGATGCAGCGAATTTCCCTGCCTCCCCTTTCTATCACTTGGACAAAAAAAAACAGTACAAAAGTACATCGTTTAGTTCACCGGAATGTTCCGATCCAGATAGCCACTCCACGTGGCCAGGCTGCGCTTCCACGGCGTGTTGGACGACAGCTGCACGTCCTCGATCGCGCTGGCATACTTGATCAGCGTCGCCTCCGAGTAGGCCGTGCCCATCAGCGCCAGTCCGTAGGGCATGTGCGAGTCCTTGTTGATGCCCGCGGGGAGCGTCACCACGGGGTAACCCGCCTGCGCGGCAATCTCGATGGAGGGGGCAAAGTCCGGAGGCACCAGCAGCGCCGTGAGGTTACGACCCTGGTAGTGCAGAGCAGCGTCGATACCTTCCTCCCGACTGGTGCGGTGGCAGTACTCCAGGGCCTGCCAGTAGGTCTCGTTCATCTCGCCCTTGGTGGCCAGCGACGCCAAGAATCCGTCTTGGCCCGAGGCAAACGCCGGGTTCACCCCGGGAACACCACCCTCACTGCCAGCATTGTCGATGTTGTACTGCACAATATCCTCCAGCGACCGCATGTTGGTGTTGTTCAGCTCCGCCAGGTAGTCCCGGATGTTGTTGTAGAAGTCCACCTTGACGTACGAGTACTCGGACTGGTTGGGGTAGCCGCGCGTGGTGCCGTAGTCCCAGTTCCAGCCGGACGGGTCGACAATCTCCTTGTAGTGCGGCAGCTCAGTGCCGTTGATGATGGTGGCACCCGCCGCCTCGATCAGCGCCAACAGCTCCATCAACTGGGCGTTCTGGGCGGCGTCGTTGTACTGCCAGAAAGACAACCAGGGGAGACCGAACACGGCGCCCTTGAGGGCCGTCTGGTTGGTCAGGAACTGGGCGTAACCGCCGGCCGGGGTCTTTCCCTGCTGGGCGTAGGTCTCGTTGTCGCGGGGGTCAATACCGTAGATGGCGTCCAGAGCATAGGCCGCATCGCGCACCGTCTTGCCAAAGGTGCCGACCGTGTCCTGGTGCAGAGACTCGGGGATGACACCCGCACGGGAGGTCAGACCGACGGTAGGCTTGATGCCGACGACGTTCGAGCGCTCAGCCGGGTTGATCACTGGTACTCCATATTAGCAATGTCATCTTTGATTTCTTTCGAGATCTACCGAACTTACCACTACCATCAGTCTCGGTACCCAGAGCAAAGGGCACCTGGTTGCTGGTGACGGCCACACCAGAACCGGAACTACTGCCACCGGGGTTGACGGTGAAGTTGTAGGGGTTGCGGCACTGGCCACCACGGCCCGAGTAGCCCTCAGAGTAGTCGTTGGAGCGCATGTCGGCCCACTCACTGAGTGCAGCCTTGCCCAGGAGGACCGCACCTGCCTCGCGCAGGCGATGGACGACGTGAGAATCGCGAGGGACGACGGAGCCGACGAGAGCCCAGCTACCCGCGGTGGTCTCCATCTTGTCCTTACTGGCGATGTTGTCCTTGACCAGGAAGGGGATACCGTGCAGGGGACCGCGGACGGTACCCTGCTTGCGTTCGGCATCCAACGCCTCGGCAATAGCCATGGCGTCGGGGTTGAACTGCAGCACGGCACTGACACACTGAATGAGCTAAACACATCTTTGTGAAAAAAAGAATAGGGGGGGATTACTTACTTGGTGTAGGGCTGGACCTGGTAGATGCGCTCGAGGTAGCACTGCAGCAGCTGGGAGCCGGTGAAGCGACCAGCCTTCAGCTGAGCCTGGATGTCATCGATGCTGGCCTCCTCGAGGGTGAAGCCATGGCAGTCCCGCATGGGGAAGAGATCGGAGCCATTGACGCCCAACTTGGGGAAATCATAAGGGAAAGGTTGGGTATCAATCTGCTGGGCCACGAGGGAGTCGTTGAGGGTGATGGCGTTGGCCACAGCGGCCAACCCGGTGGTGAGGAGCCAAGAGGCAAAGGAAGGCATGGCCGATCGTCGGTTTTCTCTCTCTCGATTCCCTGCAGATCGCTGCCACGTGGAAAAAGAGATTTAGTAGGGAAAGATGAGACAGGGGAGGGAAAAGAAAAGCAAAGCAGATGAGTTGTGGTTGGTTAAAAGGGTTGGCGCGAACAGGCACCAACGGCGACCAGCATCATGCAAGGGACTGTAGGGACGGGGACGGTTTCTGATCTAGTGCAGACAGGGGGGGCAAACTAACTACTACTGGAATGCCACTATTGAATTGGGGAGATGGAGAAAGAGTCCGACTGGAGGAGATGATTGGATCCTAGCCATGATCGGTATATTAATTGGTTGCGTAAAGGCGTCAAAATCTGGATGGTGTGGGGAGCAACCAGCAGAACAGAAAGGGAAAGTTCATCGGCAAAAGAAGGGTGGGTGGACACGGACCGGCCGCCACAACCTTCCGTGACAGTTCTGACACACACCTGTGACTTTGAATAGACACTGACCTACTATTCCTTAAGGTAATATTCACGAGAGAAGAGGTAGAGAATCAAGGAAGGAATGAGATCGAAATGGATTTTCATCTAATTTCAGTAGAGTAATAAGCTTTTTCAGGGCAAGACATGCCTAGACAGGCGACTGTGTCAGACGAGCAAGAAACAGTGCCAAGGGTGGATCTTCAGATAGGCGAGCACCGACCCGCCCGGCCTGTCCCATCCGGTGCTCCCGATGAATATTATTGCTCCTTCCCTGTTACGCATGCATCTTCTCTCAATTTTCTTTCCTATAGTAAAGTGCTGACAGGCTGTTTTGCTGCGGGTACGGCATCGCTTTTCCCACGGGGTCTTTTCCTTTTCTTAATGAAAAGATGGATAGGAGTCGAATGAGTACAGGAGTGGCAGTTCGGTAAATCTTTCAGCTTCACCCCCTGAGCTATACTACTAGTATTATCATATGATTGCCATTAGGTAAATTGCGTTTATTCTTCAATATCCTTAGCAATTGTTAGCAATTGACTTTGTTAGGCTTCCTCAGCCTAGAACCAGCCCAATCATCTTTAAATTTATCCCCCGGCCGGAAACAGCTGGAAATACTAAGAGTAGTATAGTAAAGTAGTCAGCCATCGAGATCCCGCAACGGCCTTTGATCGGTACCGATGGCCCGATCCAATTCCGCCCTGCCAATACTTTCTCTCTCTCTCGTCTCCAAAAGTCTAAATCGGAAAAAGAATGAATTCGATTGTTATAGGTTGCCAGTAGTTCCTTGGTCTTGTCGTCATGCCCACACAAAATTTTTAATATGGAACACCAACTTCCCTCATAATTATCAATCAGTTCCCCCCCAATGTCCTCCCCTTTTCCTGTCCAGGTTGAGAGACCTTATTGTCGGTCGTCTCGCTCCCATCGGCTGCCCCGGATGAGCCATCACTACCATGCCTGAGATCCCCGCCGACATTCAAACTGCTGAGGCGGAGGGTCGCATCCCGGACGGTATCACCGCCGACTATCTGGCCCAGTCGCGCGATCGGCCCACCAAGATCGCCATTCTCTTCGTCGCCGCTCTGACCTTCGTGATCGTCGTCGCCCGTTGCTACGCTCGTCTCTTCCTCGTCAAGAAGTTTGGCTGGGATGATGCTTTGGCCGTCTTTACTCTGGTATGTGAAAAACTGCCCCTATGCCCTAATTATCCCCCGCAGCCATAGTAGATAGAGGGGCTGACTCGGCACCGCATAGGCCATCTACATCGCCATTGTCGCCCTATGCATCATTCTGATCGACATGGGCAGTGGTCGACATATTGAATACATTCAATATGTCCTCACGCTGTCCCGCGTCATCGAGACCGAACGCTACGACTTTGTCATGCACATCCTCTACACCACCGCCTTGTTCGTCTGTCGCCTGTCCGGTCTGGCCTTTTACCAGCGTCTGGCCTCGCGACACCCCAAGATCTCTCTGGCCATTAAGCTCTCCGCCGGGTTCTTGCTGGCCGCGTTCCTCGCCCAGTTCTTCCTCCTGTTGTTCCACTGCCTGCCCGTCACGGGACTCTGGCCCTACCCCTGGCAGCCGCAGATCGACGATTACAACTGCATCACGTGGGGAGATGTCTATGTCACCAATTCAGCCCTGTCCCTGGTCTGCGACATCATGATGTTGGCCCTGCCCTCCATGTTGATCTACATGCTGCAAGTGTCGCCGAAGCGCAAACTGCAGCTGTCTTTGATCATGTTTCCCGGTGTTTTGTGAGTCCACATATTCTTCTCTGTGTGTTTTCTCTGTCTATCTCTTTTACTAATGTACGACCCTCTGCTAGGGTTCTGGTCATTTCCTGCGTTCGCCTGTGGCTGGTCATCGTCGGCCAGTGGTCCTCCGACGGCAGTTGGGCCTACGACCCCATGCTAGCCATCGAAACCTCCGAAGTCGGTGGCACCCTGATCGCCCTCTCCATCCCCGCCATGAAATCCTTATTCGGCTCATGGTTTTCGCATCTCAAGGCATACTCGTCGCGAGCGGGCGGAACGAGCGGCAAGCCCAGTGGCGGACAACGGGCATACGGACGCAGCTGGGAAACCGGCGTAAA